CAAGGCCATAATATATGTAATAAGTAATTGGCAAAGCCAGGATTTGAACCATTTGAACCATTCTAAGACAGAGGGTAAAACAGTAGTGGCAGAAAACCCCTTGCTTCTTTACGGCTCTGTTGGGCACCTGGAGTCAGGGGATGGGAGGGATAGATGGCCATCTCCTATTTCTGAGTAGTATGTGCCAAAGGACTTAAGCTGTCTGGGCGCCTTTGCCCAGGTAACTCCTGTACTCATTGAGAAACAAAAGGACTGGGAGGTGTTCCAGATAGACTAGCACTGTGGTGAGAGGAGCAGATTTATTCAGGCCTGTATGTAACCTCGGCATCAGCTCTGTTGTAGGGTGGGAAGACATGTGTATGGAATCATATGCACCCAGGATGCAGAAAGAGAGGAAAGGTTCAGTAACTTGTTCCCTGTGTTGGAGTCCACTGTTCACCCTCAGTAACAACATGCTCCCCTTCTACCACCCTTAACCTTTACCCCTGCCAGTTAAGATGAATTTATGGTTTTATGTTCACTTTTTATTGTCTTTAACTTGAACTTTTCTTTGGGAAAAAAATGTTTGTCAACAGTTGTACTTGAAAAATATCTACTGTTTTTACCCACTGCTTTGCCATTCTTCTTCCTCCAAGGTTCTGGCAGAAGGGGGCATATGTCCCACAGTTTGGAAAAGTAAATTAGTGGACTTTGAATTCAAATGGGAGAGATGCTTAGCTATTATCTTCCAAACGGCCTTCTGGAGAAATCTGACTTTCTGCCATTGTCTCTTACCTGTTATAGTGGGCAAAGCACTAGGATGGGAATCAGGGTTGCAAACAGGCTTGATAGAAGTGAATTTCTCACTGTAATCTGTCTTGTCTGGCCGTTTGCTGTTGCAAAAATAAAAAGGGGAATCATGATACCTCTTCTACCTCAGGGCTGGAACCGGCTCTGAGAACCTGACCCTTTCTGATCCCACTCTGGGATGGGTTAGGGTGCCTGCTCCTGGCCCCACTCTTTCTCCCTTGCTGCCTCTCTACTCCTGGTTCTCTGATTCTCAGGTCTCTAGTGGTCCCCAGCGCCTCCTGAATTCCTGCTTCATTCACCCTTTCTATTTTTACCCATCCTACGTCACATTTCCCATCTGGATGTCTCCATTCATTGTCATTTATTGTTTAACTCTTGCTGGGCAGTTTGTCGTATTCCAGAGAGCCCTGGACTTGACAAGACTGCCACTTACTGACTATATAGCCTTGTATAAGTTCCTTGATCTCCTTGAGTCCCAGGCAGCTTGGCCTAGTGAGTAGAAAGCTCAGAAAGACCTGAGTTCAAGTCTCTACTCTAACACATACTGGCTGTGTGGGCACAGACTGGGCAGGTAAGTCATATAACTTCTCAGCACGGTAGGCAGCACTTTTTTAAAAAAAAATTTTTAAGGCAGTTGAGGTTCAAGTGACTTGCCCAGCACACAGCTAGTAAATTATCAAGTGTTTGGTCTGAGCCCGGATTTGAACTCGGGTCCTCCTAACTTTAGGGCCAGTGCTCTATCCACTGTACCACATAGCTGCCCCAGGCAACATTTTTTAAAAAATTAATAATAGGGGCAGCCAGGTGGCGCAGTGAATAGAGCTCTGGCCTTGGAGTCAGGAGTACCTGAGTTCAAATACAGCCTCAGACACTTAACACTTACTGACTGTGTGACCCTGGGCAAGTCACTTAACCCTGATCACCTCACCAAAAAATAAATAAATAAAATGAAAATGAAAAATTAATAATGTTATTTGTCTTTCATTCTCAAAGAAGAACAATGACCTCACAAAGGTGATATAATAATAATAAAATGTACTGATATCCTTTGGGTTTTTTTCATGTCCTAAATTTCCTCCTGTAGCTCTACTCCAACCCCTCCCAGGGAGCCATCCCATGTATCATAGAATTACTTTACTAATTATAAGTTATAGATTAGTTACAAATTTGCATTTGAAAAAGAGGGCATTTCCCCATATCAAGGAGATGACAGTTTTGGGGCGGGTGAGGGGGGGAATGAGAACAATAATATTTGTACTAAGTCTATCCCAGGACCAGAAATTATGCCCTGTAGACCTGATGATTTGTGACTGAGGAGTGCCTCCTCCCAGGGTCCCACTATTCAGACTGTTTGACTCCTAATATTAGCCAAACTAGGGATCTGTATGTGATTTAATTAGTGGAGGTACTCCCTTCACAAATGCATATTGTAAATACTTCCCCCACCTCCAGAGACTTGATCTTTGAGGGTTGCCAAGGCTGAAAAATTCATCACTTTGTGGCCAACTTAATGGCGAACCTCTCTAGACTTAGCCAGATTGGTCCTCAGACAGCAGAAAGACACTTTGATTACAAGGCCAGTGCTTAAAGCCTTCCCAGCTTGGCTAAGACTTAACAGAGCTCACAGTCTGTCAGTCACCTCTTTGCCACAATGACTGATTAGAAGGTTTTAATGGAGAGTGGCTGAGTTCTAGTTCCAGAACACAAATGGCCAAGCATGAGAGAAAAGAGAAGGAAAGTCCTCTTTACCTAGTGCAGCCCTAGATAGAATTGGTAAATAGTCAAAGCTTGGCCTTGACACATTGCCGCATCAGGTCCACTGGTCCCGAATGTCCTCATACTCCCCTAGGACACCCCCCTCTTTACACTTGGGCACCCCCACCCCCTCATCACCCCTTGCCCTACCTGCTCTTTGCACACAGAAGTGCTCCGTGTTCCAGAATATTCTGCCTTCCTTCTTTCCATTCCTCCCCAGCAAAAACAAAAACAAAAAATTCTTCTTCCTTCCAAGCAGCTGGCTTAGGAAGGTGTTATAAAGAAAGCAATCTGATTAAACTAATTTACTCTTTCACGGTAATATGAAGGACTGATAGGCCCCAGTCCTCCCAGAGCCATTTGCATTTTTAAAAGAGGATCCTGATTAGCCCAAATGAAGCTCTAATTGGTAGAATTTCAGGCAGCCTTACCAAGTGAATTGAATAGGGTTTAAGCAGTTAGGGGGAGATCTGTTTGGGCAGGGATGCCAACCTACAGGTCTTCCAGCTCTGTGATAGGGTCCACTCTCTTGGGTTATTTCTTCCTGTCATACCTTTTCTGTTTCTTAAAACCACAGATTCTCTAAAAGCTCCTGCTTTTCCTACCTCACGTTAACTTCTATGGCAATAGAAGAAGGAGCCTAGTGTGATAGGATGGGAGGGGAGTGATGGTGTAGATAGAGACTGTTATTGTTGTTCAGTTGTTTGTGACCCCATTTGGGGGCGTTTCTTGGCAAAGATATTAGAGCAATTTGCCATTTCCTTCTCTAGCTCATTTTACAGGTGAGGAAACTGAGGCAAGTAGGGTTAAGTGACTTGCCCAGGGTTACACAGCTAGTAAGTATCTGAGGCCAGATTTGAACTCAAAAAGATGAGTCTTTCTGATTCCCAGCCCAGTCAGTGTTCTATCCACTGCACTACCTAGCCGCCCAGACAGAGGCTACTCTGCAGGCAACATCTATGAGCTTGTCTGCCAGTTAAGTCAGTAAACAGGTATTTATTAAGCTCTTATGTGGCAAATTCTGAGTATACAAAGAAAGGCAAACTCAAGGATCTTACATTCTAATGGGAAAGGCAATTTACAGAAAGATTACATGTAAGACAGAGTCGGTGAAAATGGAAAATAACTTCAGAGGGAATCTAGGTACTGCCAATGTGCTGAGTTGAGGCCACTTCAGTTTCAGCTGGTGTGGCTGATTCCATCAACGAAGACTTACTTGCCACTTATATAAAGGAACTAAAGTGTTTGAGGTCAGTTTTGAAAAGATCTTGAAGTGTTTATAGTCCCCCATCTCATAATCATCCCTTTTAATAAAAAGTTGACTAGGTTTGTATAGACTGGAATTCACGAAGGCATTATTTTGTGTGTTTTGAGAAGGGCACCACCCAATTCCAAATGAATCAATATCTGGAACATAGTTAGCAGCAGCAAACTCAGGGCAGAATAATAGCCACGGGGATTCAAGCAGGGGAAAATGGTGGTTAAATAAATCAGTCCTATACATAGGTTCCCAAAGTAAGCCATACTGCCCCCTAGGAGGTGCTGGAATGATGGGGGAGGGCAGTAGTAGCCTCAGGTGCAATTGTGGGGTATTAAATAAAAATAAGGGAGTGGTGGAAGCTTAAGGAAAGGAGAAAAGAAAGAAAATTTTGAAAAACTGTTCATACGCATTTCTTCTGATGTTTCTTCAACAGAGCTGAAAGTTGTAGTGATTACATTATTTTCCAAATAAACACAAAATGCAAGTTATAACTGATCAGTGGTCAAGTCAGCTGACAGGTCTTAACAAGCAAGTGTTGGCAGGCAAGCCTGTCTCACATTGTCAGAAAGTCCAGCAGGCATCAGCAGAAATACCTGCATGTAATGATTTGTTTACGATAGGATATTAATATAGTTACATGACTCAGTATTGCATCATCGAAATTTCAATGCAGGAAAAAACCCACAAATTTACAATAAATTGTTAAATTTAAGATGCATCATTTTAAAAAATGTTATATTTTAGAAATGATGCAGATTTCAAAAAAGAATGTTAAAGGGTTAAAGAAAGATTTCTCTAGGAGGGTGCTGAGTAATTTTTTTTTTAAAGGGCAGTAGGCCAAATAAGTTTAGGAACCATTGCTATAGAATTACGTGTGGACATTGGGGTTTGGGGCAATGAGTTCTCATCAAGTCCTTGAGTCCAAAATAGTTCTCAGCTCATTTGGGCATCCGAATTTTGTAAGCTATAAGGGTGAGCTGGGCAAGGCTCTTTTGCTATGCTATGAGGAAAATCATCCAGATTGAAGATTTTCTGATTTGCATACTGCTGGGTTTTGTGGTGTGGTGGTGGTTTGTGTGTTTTTTAAATTCACTTAATCTGTGGTCTGAGACAAGCTGTGTGTCGTAACAGGAGGAGACTTTTCTTTTTTTTTTGGCCCAGATTGGGAGCTGATGATGTTTTCTTACCATTTCAGAGCCATCATTGTTAGGAATGGAGAAATCATCCCCATGTCTTCAGAGTTCACGCCAGAGACAGAACGCCAGCGACTCCAGTACCTGGTAAGAATCAAACTTGATTGAATACGGCAGCGTGTCAAGAGTCTCCGTGCGTCACCCCTTTTGTAAGGAAGCATGAGCATTTGCTTCCAATATAGCAAGGAGCCCCAAACCGGCAGATGTTTTGTGGTGTTAATGCTTCCTCATGCACCTTCTGCCTGGAGAAAGCTTGTTGGCGTTGCATAAAATGATGTGATCCAATCTCCCTCTGTGGTTATTAGTGTGACTGATTGTTTTTCTTTAATTTTTTTTTAAATATGAAAAAAAAAGTTAGAGTCCTTTGGGGTCTGTGTGCATGTTTATATCTGTCATTTCCTGACATATTCCACATTGAACCCTTCCTGGTAACAAAGGAAAACAGTTCAGCAAAACTGACTGGCTGACAAAAGCAATCACATCTCATGGTGTACGCAACATTCTGTACCTATAATGCGCCACCTCTACAAAAAAAAAAATTGTGCTTTATCCTCTGTCCTCCAGAACTAAATTTGATCAGTGCGAGTGAATCTGATTTCAGCTGCCTGTTGGCATTGTTTTCATTTACATAACAGCAGTCCGTGTGTACACTGTTCTCTTATTCCTCTTTCCTTTGCCCTGTGTTACTTGATTCAGGCCTTACCAGGTTTCTCTGAATTTCTCATGCTCATTTTTTCCTTTGCACCACAATAGCATTGTGATACATTCATGTACCATGGTTTGTTTAGCCATTACCCAGTCAACCCATTTGGTTCTAGTACTTTGCTGCCACAAAGGTTGATGCTGGACATATGGGAGACCTTGGCCCCGTTAACCTCCTGGGAGATGTGCCCACTTTTATGCCCCGATTTCTTACAAATTTAGTTTGATGTGAGAGTATGGATACTTGAGTGACTCTTTTCATTTAATTACAATTGTTTTCCTGCGCATTTGGAATGGTTTACACCCCTATCAAGTATTGATGACTTACTGTGGGAAATAGGATTTTCTCACATCTATGGCCAGTATGTTATAAGCTGGAGGAGAGGAAAAAACAAAAAAATTTTATACATTTGGGGGGAACACACATTTGACACCCTCCCTGTGGCCCCTGTTTTGTCCAAATAGGGGCATTGGAACTTTTACTAATACCATAGAAGAAAAGATTTCTGCCCTCTCATAAATACTATAAATTTCCTCTCCCTGACTCCCAGCTCACATTTCTTTAATGGGAGACATGTACCATTTCTTCATCCACTCATTTGACACTTGGAGGACAAATCTGGGGAGTCTTGGGGGACAGGGAGCTGTTTGTCCTTTGAAGCATCTCTTAGGAATTATCTAATTGACCCATGAACCTTTTTTTAGGAAAGGAGATGGAGGGGGGAAACTGCCCTGTGAAGGGATATTAGATTTCTCAGAGCTTTTCTATTCTGTTCTCAGATTTGACTTTCCTCTCCTAAGATGCCCTGTCCTGCCGCCAGACTCCCAGGACAAAGATTTCTTTAGGGTGGCTTCCTTTGGGCACTCCCCCAAGGAATGCTGTTGCTAATCTTGAATAGCAATTCTCAAATTATAGAACCAGCTGTTTTCAGTCTGTACAGCTAGGTGGTGCCACAGTGCATATAACACTGGGCCTGGAGTCAGGAAGACCTGAATTGAAATATGGCCTCAGTTATTTATCAGCAGGGTGATCCTACTCAAGTCATTTCACCACTATCTGCCTCAGTCTCCTCATCTCTAAAATGGGGATAATAACAGCTCCTACCTCCCACGGTTGTTATGAGAATCAAATGAGATACTATTTGTAAAGCACTTTGTTAAAAGCACCACATAAATCATAGCCATCAGTATTGTTATTGTTTCTTTGCATTTTGACTTTGATGTATATTGTTGCTCAGTCATTCAGCTGTATCCGACTCTTTGTGACCCTGTAGACCCTACTGTCCGTGGGGTTTTCTTGGCAAAGATACTGCAGTTGCTTGCCATTTCCTTCTCCAGTGGATTAAAGCAAATAAAGGTTAAGTGACTTGCCCAGGGTCACACAGCTGATATGTGTCTGAGGCCAGATTTGAACTCAGGTCTTCCTGACTCCAGACCCAGAGCTTTCTCCACTGAGCTAACAAGCTGCTTCCAGGCAGCAGCCCAGACATTACATACATACATACATACATACATACATACATGTATTTGAATCATCTGTTTAGAAACTGTATCTGTAGAACTACAAGCACTTGACTTAATCTAAATTCCTCCATGATTGGAATACTTTCCCCATGTTGTTCAGAAATCTTCATGTCGCTCTTCTCTGAGCAGTTGGTCCAGTAAGTTGGTCCAATTAGAAATGGAATGCATAAACATCCTGGTTTTCTGCCTTTTTTGTTGTTGTTGTTCCAACAGGCAGAGATTGGTCATTTCTTAAGAGGCTGTGTGCCTTGAAACTGTCAAGTCCAGCTAGGGTATTCATGTTGCAAAAGTCTTACCTCTTCTACCTAAATCTTTGCTTAAAAAAAAAAGTGAGGTCGTTAAGGAATATTAGCAGGTTTGTTGCAAAGAAGAAATTGTAAAAGAATTGAGAACAATGAGAAGGAAATTTGGTCTAGGTTCTTTCTGTTTTATAAAATGTCATGCCTGCAAACAAGGAAAACAGCTCATAGAATGTGACAACATTAATGAAGACAAACAACTTGGAAAGACATAAAAATTCCAATCAACATAGTGACCATCCATGAACCAGAGGCCCTATGACGAGGCATGGTACCCACCTCTTGACACAGAGGTGATAGATTAAGGACACACAATGAGACTAAATTGTTTGGACACAGTCAATGTAGGGATTTGTTTTATTTCACTGTATGTACTTGATACAAGGGTTTTGTTTTACTTTCTTTTTTTCCGTGGAGGGTAGAAGAGAAAATAAATTTTTGATTGAGAAAATATTTTTAAATATTTTAAATATTTAATTGTTATATGTAATATATTTAAAATATTTAAATTTTAAATATTATTTAATTAGTCATTTCCCCTTAAACTTTTCCTACATTGAACTTTCCTTTCTTTTTTTTAATATTTTTCCCCAGTTACATGTTAAAAATTGTTTTAACATTTTTTAAAGTTTTGAGTTCCAGATTCTATCCCTCCCTTACCTCCTCCCTTCCTGATATGGTAAGCAATCTGATATAGGATATACATGTGCAATAATGTAAAATATTTCCATATTAGTCATTTTCTTCAAGAAGACTTAAAGGAAGACAGAAAGATAGGAAGGGAAAGAAAAAAAGAAAATTAGTATGTTTTAGTCTGTATTCAGATAGCATCAGTTCTTTCTCTGGATGCAGATAGCATGTTTCATCATGAATCCTTTGAGATTGTCTTGGATCATTGTATTGCTGAGAATAAGACATGCATGTGAACTCTCCTTTCTAATAAAGAAAATCATTTGGGCAAAACCATCCTCTTTAGTGACTGCATCTCTCTTAATGTATACTCCATTCTCTGTCTGTAGTCCCTCACCTTTCTACGGAGAGAAGAGGAGTGTTTCATTATCAGTTCTTCAGGACTGAGATGGGTCATCACAGTTCATCAGACTATGGCTACCTTTTGGTGTTGTTTTCATTTATTTTGTGATTGTTGGGCTTATCTCTCTTCTGATTCTACTTCTTTCTGCATCAGTTGTTATGAATCTTTTGTGGCTTCTTTTCCAGCTCAAACACCAACTAGTTATAGGACTCCAGGAAATTCAGTCAACCTCCCTGAGTCTTTATTTCCATTTCTTAATAAAGTAATAATGTTGGCCACAACTTAATAGTCATAGGCATTGCACAGCTACCATGGTACCAAGCACGTATGACAGTAGATATAACAATTAGACCAACTCTCAATTGTCCATCTGGTTATATATCATAGTTCAGACCACAGATATATTACTGTTTTCCATTACTGTATTCCATACTGTATATGTTAATATACTGTACTCTAAGTATAACAAGCTTAATTCTATCTTCACCATTTGGGATGTGCATACAGTGTGGATGAGGATGAACGAACATGTGATTTGGTGACCATTCTAGTAGCCAATGGAGCTGTATTAAACAAATTCCGTGATTTGTAATTTCCTATTTGACTCCACTGGCCTGACTAAAATACCACTAAAAAGTTAAATATTTATTCCCTAGTCACTGGTTAGATCACATTTTATTTTTACGACGTGATGGAAATAGCATTAAGATTTCAAAATACCCAGGTATTTTTTTTTAATGTCCTTTACTGGGAACTGTCAGAAGTTCAAAGACTGCTTACTCTTAATAAATTATTTAGTGATTTCACCAAAAATATAATGAATGGAATTTAGAATTCAGGGAGTTTGTGTATGAAACATGATAGATCACAGATTTAGAGCTTGGGAAGAGTCCCATTAGAGGCCATCAGATCCAACCTCAATATTTTATGGAATCTACAAAATATGAATCATAGTATATCACATAGCATAGAATCAGTGAAATAAATGAAGAAACAGGTTTTATAGAGATAAAGTAACTTTCCCAGAGATACACAGTCAGCAGCTAAATGTTTTAAAGTATCAGTGATGGTTGTTCTTGGCATGCAAAATTTAACTTTTTTCAAACTGTTTGATGTGATAAGGTAACTTGTTTCCTGACCTCCTTGGATGTTTCATTTGGATCTGTGGGGAAGTCTGACATGAGCTGTTTTTCACGCAAAAGGACTAATTTAGCAATGCTGTGGATTATGACTTCATCTTGGTCAATGTGGCACGTTTGTGGTCATGGAGATTTCCATTGTCTTACTGCCTTGGCAAATCTTTTTTTTTTTAATTTTAACATTTTATTTAAAGTTTTGAGGTTCAAATTCTGTCCCTCCTGACCCCCCCCAAAAAAAAACAGTAGGCAGATATAGGTTATACATGTGCAATTATGTGAAACATTTCCTTATTAGTCATTTTGTCCAAGAAAGCTCGAATAAAAGAAAAGAAAGAAAGTGAAAAATAGCACATTTCAGTCTGTATTCAAACAATATCTGTTCTTTCTATG